ATATATGTTTATGACTTTTTTATATATTATAGGCTTACCCGCTTGCAAAGCAACCATTTTGCCTGGCGATACCAGTATTAGGAATCATTTATACACTTTCGATCCTACCCACCGTACAAAAATAAATATTGCATACGCGATTTTCTGAGCAAACCCAAGCAACATGGGTCACCAAAACGCAGCCGTAGGTAGTCGCAGTCCATCCTCTGTAGGGGCAGGAAGGCTTAAAAGAAAATGAAATCTTCAGGCTCGACGCTCTCTCGTGCAGCAAAATGTGCCAAAAAATGTGAAAATAAAGTTTGACATGGACACCCACCAGCTCGCCATCCCTCTTCTTCCTTGCATCCCAGGCCCCAGGACCACGGTCTCACCTCTCCTCTAGTTTCCCTGGGTCAGTTTATAAACTGCAGAGATTTTTCTGCATGTTTTTTAGGAGAAAGAGGAGGTTGGCTCTTCGTGCTGCTGGTGGACAACCTTGGGGGAAGCATCTGTGTGCAACGCTGGCTTGGTCCAGCTGCTGGACCCTTCACTTCATCCCTTCCAGCTACTGCTACCCTGCTACGAATTCCTGCCCTCCCCGAGAGGAGCAGGAGATAGTGGAGAGGGGGGAGACTGCAAAGACATGTTCAAGGTGTTCAAGGCCGGGTTGGATGAGCAACCTGGTCTAGTTGAGGGTATTCCTATCCCTGGCAGGGGGGGTTGGATTGGATTCCTTCCAACCGAAGCCATTCTATGATATTCTTTACCGTATGTTCTCAAACCAGGTTAACAAGACACTGGAGTTAGCGCTCGGACAAATTATAACGAGAAAGTTTCAAGTGAGTCAGCGATGACAGCAGGAGCTGGCGGTGATATAGTAATTTTGAATAACATTTCTTCATGGAGGAAAGACGGACATTAAGAAAAGTGTATGCGTCGGTCTCGGCCATGGATTCTGGCAACATTTTGCATGAGTTTCTTCAGAAAACAGTAGAGAAACACGCGATGGGTTCACCCCCTTCAAATACGTCTACATCCCCAGGCTCGCTAGTTCCCCACAAACAACAACAACAAAAATTAAGGAGGAAAACCCAGTCTTTCAAAGACAACTCTCCGCAGGGAGAGGTTGGACGTCCACGCGGATGTTGTCGCCCAGCTCAGCTGGCAGACCCCGCCATGCACGTCAGCGTCCCCCAGCGCTGCGACACCAGCCCCAGCCAGAGACACGCCGCCGTCAGCAGGACGGGCTGCGCTGGCCGCTGCGTTTTGTTCAGCGGGGAGAGGGTGGTAAAAACGGCATCGGTCGTGTTCCTCGGCAGGGGCAAGTTGCAGATGCTTCCCTCGCAGCAGGAGGTGCAGATCTGAAACGAAGCAGGTTGATAGCTGGTTACGTGGAAAACACTGACGTCACTGAATAAAGACGGAGGGGAAAGAGGGAAAAAGACTTTTGGCAGTCTGCTTTTTTTCCTCTTTTTCTTTTCTCCCCCCTTTTTTCTTTTTTCTTTTTTTTCCCTTTCTTTTATTTCTTTTTTTCTCCCTTTTTTTTGTTTCCCTTTCCCCCTCTCCCCCTTTCTTTTCCCCCCCTTGTTTCCTCTTATTTTTTTAACCCATCTACTTGGAGAAAAATTTGCCCCCATACAGGAACAGTATGTTGGCTAGTGCAAGCAGGACAGATCCACTAAGGAGAGGCTGGATGTGGCACTTAGTACCGTGCCCTGGCCCATGTGGGGATGTTGGGTCATGGGCTGGGCTTGATCTCAGACGTCTTCTCCAGCCTCAACAATTCTGTGATTCTGTGATTCTCTCTTTCCTACCCCAAATAAGCAAACTGACGAAAACCGCTGTTGTTCCGTTGAAGAGGGTTCACAAGGCAGAACTCAAACAAATCAGTATTTATTCATATTTTGAGGCGGGGGGAGTTGTGTGCAGGCACTGGAGAGTCCCTAAGGACATTCAGTTCTGCCTTCTCAGGGCTAGGAAGGGCCAGTTACAGTCCCCTGCCCGAGCACAGAGCTTTAGAGAACACAACTAAGGCCAAGAGAGCAGAAAATTCTGCGTGAAAAAGAGATGGGGCTGTGGTGTGCCCGGCAGCTGAGAAAGCTCTTCTATTTTTAACCTGCTGGAGAAGTTCAAAAAGGTCAACTACTGACCTTCAGAAAAATTTTATAAGTAACTGATTCAGATATAAAACATTTGCTCCAGAGGTTTAGAGGTGTTCCCTGACCGGTCGGTGGCAGCGATGAAGTTTGGCAGGAGAAGGGCTCCTCGGCCAGAAGGGAGAGGTTTGCTCCCTTGAGCTGCTGGCAGGAGAGTTATTTGAAGAGATTACTCTTTTGTTCTGGGAGAGGTTATTCCTTTGTTTCTGCAACAAATGGGAATGAGCTGGAGCTCGTTAAGAAGAGAAACTTCATCTTTGACAGTGCTGATTTATCCACTGAACCAGTCAGGCTTCTGGCAGAGGACAGAAGGGTTCTGCTTGTTTTTCATAAAAAAAAAAAAAAAGGCAATTTTTCTCCTGTACCTTGTATTCTTCATGCTTTACATATGTGCATCCCGTGGACAGGCAGTCCTCTAATGGTACACAACGTTTGGTGACGGACACGCTCTCCCCAGTAACTTTCATCATATGTTGGCTAAAGCAGTATCTTGTACCTAGAAAGACAGAAAAATGTGTTTACCTGTCAAACGCGAGTGTCGTGATAGTCGTCTGCAAGCTGGAAGGAATACGTAAGAAGTCTTAGACCTTTTTTTCCAATCTTGGAATTTTTTTCTTTAAAAAAAGAGAATTTTATTGTCTTTGTTGAAATACATAAATGCCACTAAATACACACCCACCCCCCAAGTTCTGGCACAAACCTGAGGTTTCAAAGCACTCTGGAACGTGGAGATTTTTTCCTGATGTCAACGTGGTACGGACAAAGACACGCACATCCGATAATCAAGTGACAGAGGGAGGTTCAGATAAACACCCCGAACCTTGTGCGCTCTTAGTTCTATGGGAATTGTCTTTAAAAAAAATATATTCCCAATATTTGTTTATATCCAGACCTAACTTTCAGCTGTGTAGGTTAATTTTTTTTCCTAGCTGCATGCCCAACCATTAATTCCATAAAGAGTTACACGTTGGAGATCATTTTCCCTACTTGTGCAAGCCATCCTCTGCTTGTGCCCTGATCCCAGCTCTCCCACAGCTCCTGCACAGCCCAGAGAAGATCCTTTACCCTCTCTGTCCCTCAGGTTTATCGTCTATAAAATATTGCCAAAATACCATCAGGAGGGTTGGGAAAAGCACCATGGAATGGGCTGTGTCCCCATTGCATCTTCTGCACTGCCCATCCCCAAGGGATATCATCCTCCTCCTTCTTTTGTTTAAGCGACTCCTCTCGTGACACTTGTAAAACGCACAGAAAATGCAAAGCAGGATGACTGACAAATGCTGTGGTTACCCCCAGACATAAAGAAATTTGGGTTTATTTCATGCTTTAGTCGTCAAAGCGAAGTTGAAGGTGCTGTTCCCTTTGCTAGCACTCCACGTTGACAGAGCTGGATTTTTCAACACAGGAAAACCTGCCATTATATATTTCTTCTCTAAATTACACCTTCCTTCTTATTAATCAGCCTTATCGTTAATGAAATTGTTGCTTTCACGGAGGGGAAAGAAAAGAAGCGTAACCAATTTAAAGCGAACATTCCCACCCAGCCCCACTGGGCAAAGCCCTGCGTGCTTCTCGTGTTTTAGGCATTCGGCAAACAGCCGAGGGAGCACGTTATTCATGAGGCAATAAAACCCCTCGGACATCTGTTGTATCTCTGACCTGCTCTTAAGGGTGATATCCACAGCAAACATCATTGGCGGCCGGAGATGCTTACTGTGCTGCCTTCCATCAAACCAGGGCTGCAACAACGCGGCTTTTAACACCTTTTTTTTTTCCAGGCTCGCCTGCACTACAGATGTGAAGCTCACAATGTTGATGTCTCTCTGAGCTTTCCTCAGCAAATCTGGGCGTGCGCCACTGGAGGTTTATTCCTCCTGCAAAAGCTCCGCGCAGCGGAGCTCGCCCTCGACACATCCCAGGCAGAACAAATAAAGCTTCTAGCACCCCGTAACTCTTTTAAGGCTGTTTTGTTCTTTCTTCCAAGTGCAGTTTTAGAAAATATTGTGCAATTGTCTTGGAGAGAACGTATTTTCCCCTTGCCTCACACATCCATCGCTGCTGTCTGTCACCTCCTGTAAGGCAGATGGGGAGGCTGCAGGCTGGGAGGATGGAGGAGAAACTCTAGGCTGAGCCTGTGATGAACACGGACCCAACGCTGCAAAAATTTTGCAGAAAATAACAGATAAATTTAGAGCAATTAAAATAAAACAGTGCAGCATGGAAGTTAATGCGTTCTAAGTGCTGCGGTGCCCAAGCAAGGGAGCAGTACGGTCGCAGGGTAAGGCTGGGTGTCGGTGGTATTGTACCAAAAAAGACAGGGATTCACATTTCCTAAATTTTGCTGTTCCAGAGGGTCCTTAGAAGCACTTGAAAGCCAGGCTGACTGTGGAGTAATATTCAGGCTGTCCAGCAACACGTTGCACTACAAAAGCATTTGAAAATGAGATTGCTGCTCTGTGTGATTATTTGGGGGATTTTCAGGGCTGGTGGTTTACATCGTCACCAGGCATGACGAGTGACACCATCACCTCTTCTTTCCCATTTTTCCTTCCTCTGGTGGAACTGTCTGGCAATGTAAAATGTGCTTCAGCTACATGGTGTCTCCAGATATCTATGTACAACACACCAGCTCAGTCTCGACCTGCCAGGAGTGATGCTGACCTACAGCAGCATCACCCAACAGCTAAAATGCACGTTCTCCACGGACACCCACCTCATGGGCACCCTCCTACGCCCTTACAGGGAGCAAGAGTGAAGAAACCAGCAACTGAAACCAGAAGTCATGGTGCAGACCAACATCCAGGCTCAGCACAAGCAAACCAGCCCGACCTACTGAGGACCCACCAAGGCTGGTACGTATCTCCAGTAGGAGAAATTGGACTTCTCTGCTTCAAACTGGGCAGGCAAATACTGAATCTGGTATTTCCAGAGTCACATACTGACTTTTCAGAGCCCACTTCCTCAACCACAGCCTGTAACAGTGCTGGAACATCACCTCAGTGGTGGTGGGGGCTTTTATCCCCTTCATGAGTTGCCAGCCCACCCACAAGCCATCCAAACATAGAGTACCAGGAGTATTTTGAGTGCGGTGTTTCCATACAAAATGGATCACTAACAGAGCTTCTGCTTGAGCTGAAGCTAATAACTAAGGAAACAAGGTTAATGCAGAGCAGGAGGCTTATAGGGAATGTTCTTTGCCATCTCAGATCAATACAGGATTTCATGTATTTAGTCTCCATTATAATGAATTTTATTATATTAAAAATGCAAACAGAAACCTGAGTCCTATGTTACAGTTAATGTAAAGATCTTGTTTTGTGTAATAGCATTCTGTCTTAAAAAAATTAATCATAGACTCCTAGAATGTCTTAGGTTGGAAGGGACCTCAGAGATCATGTAATCCAACCCCCTGCCATGGACAGGGATGCCCTTAACTACACCAGGTTGCTCAAGGCTCATCCAACCTGGCCCTGAACATCTCCAGGGAGTAGGCATCCACAACCTCTCTGGGCAATATTCCAGAGTCTTGCCACCCTCTGACTGAAGAATTTTTTCCTAAGATCCAGTCTAAACCTATTCTCCTTCAATTTAAATCAATTTCCCCTTGTCCTATCGCTGGACACTCTTGTAAAAAGTTCCTTCCCAGCCTCCCTGTAGGTCTCTTCAGGCACTGGTGGCAGAGCTCCAGCCCCTGGGTCATCTCTGTGGCCTTCTCTGAACTCGTCCCAACAGAACCGTGTCCCTCTTACGGTGGGGACACCAGAGCTGGACACAGCATTCGAGGTGGGGTCTCAGCAGAGCAGAGCAAAGGGGGAGAACCCCCTCTCTCGCCCTGCTGGCCACACTCCTCTGGGTGCAGCCCAAGGCAGGGTTGGCTTCTTGCCGAGGGTGCATAATAGAGGGATGGAGTTTTCTCATTTTCTCCTGCCACTTAACCCCAGCAAAGCAACAAGGTTTGGAATCCCTGCAGCAAGGGAGGCCATGCCGTGAGCGCACCCCTCTGGCTCCCAGAGATAAGGTATTACCCGGGCAGATAATCCCTGTCCCCAGAGCACGCCGGGAGTCACACCCCAAACCTGAGCGTCCCCTTCTGCTGCTTCCTCACACGAGCTCAAAATAGCGTTTGGAAATTAGAGCAAGAAGGAAGGAAAACTGCTTTAATAAAGCCACCCTGGAGTGACGGCTGACTTCTGGGAGCAATGGCATTATTAGTCGCAGGAGGAGGGCTGGGGACCATAATTTGCAGCTCTGCTCTGGAGGAACACGGCTGGTGGGTTACAGATGCATCAAAGTATGGTTTTCCTCTCCCCTTAAACTCCCCCTAGACAGGCACCTTGCTTTCCAGACCAGCATTTTTGGGGGGATCAAGTCATCTCTGCTGTTGTTACCAAAAAGCAGACCTTGGAGTTGCTCCTCTCTCCTCGTACAGCCATCGGCAGGTAGTCATGTAAATACCACCCACTCCTGTCACAACGGAGAGTGACCACGAATATCGGTCTCATCTGATGCCAGCCGGCCTGACCTCTTTCATTGCTGTTGATGTTGTGCTCATTTCAGCTCAAACAAATAAATTCTCGGCCAGAAAACGTGCTGTGACTCAGGCTGCAAATACGGCTGGTCGCTGTCTTTCTGCATCCAAACTGAATATTTTTCAAGGGCGCTTGTAATGTCCCACCTCAGACATCCTGGATGAGTGCAGAGCCCAGAGAAAGCCCAGGACAGCCGCCTCCTGCCCTGGTGAGGACACAAGCTGACTAATTAGGCTTCGTCAGGGACTGTAGAACAATCTTAATTAGTTCAACAAGGACCAGTGTAAGGTACTGAACCTGGGAAAACACATAGTGCAGTGCAAGGTGGGATCCACCTAGTTGGGGAGCAGGGAAAGGGACCTGGGGAAGCTGGTGGGCAACAAGAAAGCCAACGGGCTGCATCAACTAGGGCATCACCAGTTGAGTTAAGTAGTCATTATCCTGCCCTACTCAGTGCCGGTCAGGCCACACCTGGAATGGTGTGTTCAGTTTTGGACCCCAACATCAAAAAAGTTATGGACAGGCTGGAGAAGGGCCAGAGAAGGGCCACAAAAATGATCCAAGGACTGGGAGGTTGCCATGTGAGGAAAGACTGAGAGAACTGGGTTTGTTCAGCCTTGCGAGAAGTAAGCTTAGGGGAGACCTTATCACTGTGTTCTGGTATTTAAAAGGTGGCAACAACGAAGGCGAAGACACCGTTAATACAAGGGAAAAAGGAGAGGTCATGGGTACAAGTTACTCCTAGGGAAATTCTGATTGGACACAAATTTTTTCACAATGAGAATGATCAACCACTGGAATGATCTGCTCAGGGAAGTGGTAAAGTCCCCAACACTGGACACTTTGAAGACTCAGCTGGACAAGGTGCTGGGTCAGCTTGTCTAGACCGTGCTTCTGCCAAGAAAGGTCAGACTAGATGATCCCTGAGGTCCCTCCAACCTGGTGTTCTATGATTCTGTGTTTCTTAACGCCTTGTGACTGTCTCAAAAATAAAGTGAGTGCCTGTATTCCAAAACATTTTCTGAGCTGTTCTTGACTTCAGACTCCAACAGGAGTTATGAGCCCAAAACACTGAAAATACCTCCATGCCGGCCAAAAAGAGGCAGCCTGAGCTGCCCTGGACTGTGGGCTTGTGCCGTAGGGGAGAAACACAAACAAAGCAAGAACCAGACTAACCCGAAAAAGAAACACAACCCTTAAATAAGTGTCAGCCTGATTTAATTTCCAGCTAAGCTAGAGGAGCGCGGGGAGGAGCTGAAAGTCCTAAACTTCATCCACAGCAACGAGACAGAAAAGCTTAAAGGATTACTCATATCGCTTACACATCTTTCTTGTTGAGGAGGCTTACAAGCAGCATCCGAGTACACTCCAGGAATAATGGGGGCTCAGTCCTGTCCCGCAGCGGGACAGGGAAGGGTTGTTGTAGGGCGGGTTTAAATTAAATGTTAGCACACAGCTGGTTACCTCTTGGACAATAGATATCCGGAGCCCATCGGTTGCATTCGTAATTATCCGCTGCCTTTTCGCAGGTGAAGCACTTAAACCCATGAGGATACGGCGTGGCTGGAAGGGATAGACGACATGCAGTTAAAATGAGCCAATGAATCCAGTTCCGATATTTTTTTTCAACGGCACACAGCAACATTTGTTCTCTTTGGACGTGTCTTTCCACAAGTCTACCTGTCAACTTCATCAGGTGGGTCCTGACTTGTGACAATCCTGTCGCCAGTAGCTGTGCAGGAAAGGCACATACAGGTACAATAACAACTCAGTTTGGCCGTGCTCGCTTAGCAAAAGTGCCCGCTGCTGACTTCAAAGGGAGATAATGTGAGCAAGGAGTGCTCGTTATCATGCTATCGGAGCTCACATCCACTGCTGCTGCTTTATCAGGGCTGATAACAAAATATCAGATGGATTAAAATACTCCTGGAAACTGTCCCACTATCCCTTTTGAAGGCAGGCTGATGTCCCCAAAGGAAAGAAAAACCAATCTGCTGACCCTCCAGTTAATAACAGCAGACTCTGTCCTAATCTATCTCGCCAATAACTTCTTACGTGGTCTCCTGGCAGGGCTTCTGTAGCTCGTTCACTATGTCTTCAAGATGCTGCCACCTTCTCAGAAGCCAAATGGTGAACGGGTCACGTTTATCTCCACGGGGTGAAGTAAGCTGAACCCCCACAGCCCTGCATCCCACCTCTTCCTCCTCTTCACCTCCTCCCCTTGTCCACCAGCTCTGGGCCAGAACCCTTTTGGGTACAAGAGGTAAAGCAAGAAACTTCTTGTTTCTCCAGGCTCCTTGGGGTAAGGGCCAACAAGTCACCTGGGAGCATCTCCGGTGAGGCTGGTGCTGCCCTCCAGGAACAGCTTGGGGTGGGACAAACACAACAGCACTAATCAAACTCACTCCTTTCACCCTGGACATCTAGGCAGGTCATAGCTGGGGCATCAAACAGGAATTTCATCTTGCAAGGAATATAAACTTTTCAGCCAAATTTGGGAAAGCAGTGAGTTTTGACTGGGAACAGCTCACTTCTGGAACTTAAAAAGTTTGTATCTGATGAAGTGAACAGGAGAGTGAAAGGAGAGTCTGTGGAAGATCTAAAAAAGTGTAACTTCGCTACAGCATTGCTCCAGGGATATAGTGAAATGAAGGTGAGAGCAGTTGGTGCCACAGCTCCTCACCCCTACCGATGTGGTCAGGCCAACCGCGTGGCCACGGAGCTCAGTCCCATATCTGGAGAGAAACAGAAAACAGTGAACAAAACCCTCCTGGCGTGCTCAGCAACTACCTGCAACCCCAGCTCATCCTTTAACCCCTCCGGGAAGCAGTGGTCTGGTTTCATATCAACTGGTTTCACAAGCACAGAGGACGTTTAATTAATCTTTGCCCAGCTTTTTGCCCCCCTCAACCTTTGGGTTGACAGCCCGCGCGAAGGTGGCTTACTGGAGGGGTGGAGGTAGACGATGTCCTTCACGGTGAAGTCCCTGGGCTGTGCCGCCGGCAGGCAGCCCGTCAGCAAGCCGAGCACCACTGCGGTGCGGGCTGCGAGGCCATCGCCCAGCGAGGCCCCTCCTCATGCGGCAGCCGAAAAAATATCTCACCTGGCAGAGAACAAGGGTGAGCAGAGCGAACCCCACAACCACGCTCATCTTCCCCCCGCCCAAAACCTCACTGTGATGGTCCCACGAACCTTCAGCTGCCCTCCCGCAGGTAGGAAGGGCGGTCGCGTTTGTCACTGCGACCATTTAACCGGTTTGCAAAAAAACCCTGCAGGATGTCGATAAAATCATCGGACACCCTGCTGCGACAGGATTTAACAGCTTCTTGTAGAGAATACTGGAAAATCGCAGAATTAGA